ACATTTAGTCTTATCCACTTTCGAAACTTTGGCCATAAATTCTTTTTGTGGTTAGTGCTACGGCTTTCTTCATTCACAGGTTTATTCCTAATGACAAGTTTTTCCATGTTTACCAGAAAAGTAGTATCAACCCTTTGATCTTCATCTTTGTGTTCAATCTATATATAAAAACTGATAACGTGGTCGACTTTTAAAAAGGAAGGGTTCTGCTTTGTTTCTCATCTATTCCGTGTGACACGACCTTCCATTTGGAATCAATATATATATGCATATATGTAAATATATACATACATCCTCCTGTGGTGTCTTTTTGTGAAAACTGTAGATAATTTCAATTCATTCCCATTAGAAAAATATCGTTTGGAGGAATGTTTTTCAATAGGTGTAATAAAAAATAGTGTTAAGTAAAAAAAACTCCAAGAATTATATTTTCTTTATTTAATCAAATATTCATTCTTTTAACATTCTGTGAAGAGCAATAACTGTTTTTATGTATATTTATTTCTTTATTTTGCATCTAAAGAAAATGGTTTCCCTGACATACACAGTTCACACAATTTCATTATGACATATATGGAGACATAACAAACTGTATTTTAGTTCAACAGTCCATTAAACAAAACAAATCAGGAGCCAAACAAACACAGGCCTCTAAAACATTAAGGTGGGATCAGGTGCCATGGAGGTATGAGCATCCCCTGCCTACTGGTCACACCTGCCGTGTGCTCCTTGTTATGATAAAAACATTATGGAATATCCGTCGTCAATTCAATGTGTAAAAAATGGTTTAACAATTATTGTGAAAACATCAGTCAGCATCACTCAATGATAAATTATGTTTGCCGACAAGGCCGTTGTATCGACCATAGAATTTACGAAATTATGACTGATGTAACTAAATGTGGAGCTGAAGGCCACATCATTTTTTTTACACGTTAAAAGAAATTCTGCTTCACAAGATACAAACAATGGTCTGCTAATATCGTGGTGCAACTGGTACACATGTAAATTGGTAAATTCCATTTGATTGTAGGAAGACCTGGTCACCAAACACCACATGTTTATTGTCAATCAGAAACTCAAGCATCTTTTTGATGTCAACTTCAGAGTACCTATGTGCACAATCAGAATGTTTTTAAGAAGGATATGGAGATAACAAACAGTATTCAATATCAAAGTCCATAAAACAATACAAAATCAGTTGCCATTGAGGAGTGAGCATCACCTGCTGACTGGTAACACCCGCCGTGTGCTCCTTTTCATGATCGGGAAATAAAGGTAAAGTCCGTTGGTGTATAAATAATGGACTAACTATTGGTATGAAAAACAGTCAGCATTTGACTCAATGATAAATTGTATTTGCTTATAAGGTCATTGTATCGACCATAAAACTTACAAAATGATGACTTTAAACGAGACTGCTGATATTTTTGTTTCATCAACTAGTTTGTTAATAATTTACCTCGTTTTAGAAATTGTTAATACATAGAGCATGCTCTTGCGTATCGAATCAACTGAGATATATATACTACGTATGCAGGTGATGAAGGTATATTGCTGTATAAGTAAGGGAAGTTGACTATAGAAAAGTTAAAGTAATCACGTTTATCATATAGCTTGGTTGTTAAATTACCATTACCGTCTTTTTCAAGTTAAATATCCAAGTGTGAAACAGATGTGTCAGACTCTGTGGTATCTTTTATCTCAAGCTCACCAGGATATATCGTATCGACGTAGGAATGGAAATTACCATCATTAATTGACAATACGTCGTCGATATACTTATCTAAATGTCGAGCTTAAGGCCACAGCAAGTGTTTTCTTCTTTTCACGCATAAGATATTGCACAAATTCTGCTTCATATGGATATAAAAATAGGTCTGCTAACGGGGAGCAATTGGTAAATTACCATTATTAATTGACAATACGTCGTCGATATATCAAAGATATTTAATATTTAAGTCATGTCACATGTACTTGTGGACAGGACCCCCGATATTTAACATCGGGACTAGTTGAAAAAAAATACCGCACTATACATTATAGGAGATAATGTATAGTGGGGTATTTTTTGTGGAACGATTATCTTGGGGGGTTTCACGATTTTTCTCTCATGGTACGTAAGATGAATAAGTGTAATAAATATAATTTATAATATAAACCCCTGGGGTTCAATATCGGGGGAGGGATGTCCCGTCCACAAGTACCTGTGGCTTAGGTAGTGGTGGACGGAGGTCCTATCAACAAGGACATGTGGTTTTAGCGAGGAGTTAAAAAGAGGCTTGACAGAACAGTTACTGGAACCCGTTATGTATGTTTGTTTGTAAGGATTTTTATGATGTTTTAACATGCAATATACTTATGGTCATTGAAATTCTTTTGAGATGTTGGAAAGATTAATGATAATCAAAACTGACATAAAATTATATTTATGCAGCGTTATTTGGAACAAAATAATAGGGAAGGAAGCATACATACCTCGATTTCATAGACGTATCGTTTCATTCAGTATTTTATATCAATATTACAGAAAGTCGATAAAATGAAGTTACATTTATATAACCATATATAGATTTACTTATCAAGTATTGCCAGTTTAAAAAAAAATATCTCTTTTTGAAACCAATCAGTATTTGGAGAGTAAAATTCATAATGATAAGCAATAGAAATAAGACTCTTCAGGAAGGACATGAACAATATTTCCGTATTTTTGATTAAAATGTGCCGATCACGAAGTGATAAGCTGCTTGTTTTTGCATTTATAGGTCTCTTTATACTGGTGTTTTCTCAAACAAAAAATGGTGAATGTACAGAAAGGTATGGTTTTTCATAATGTTCCAGTGTAAAAGAATTTCATTATTATCATTTGACACTATATGTATCTTATTATAAACTTATTACAGACCCGTTTCAGGCCAGTGTTGTTACAACTATCATCTTGTGGGCAATAAATGCGAGGGTGAGTATTTTTGTTTAATTTTAATGCATTAATTTTTCACAATAATTTATGTTCTTTATGACATATTTAGATTAAATCATTCAACAAATTGTGAAGTGCGGATTACAGATGAATAATTTCCTAGGGTTTTTTTTCATATGAGTGGTATATCAACTTTTCTGTTTCACAGGAAACTATATCCGTTATGCTTTTTTTTCAGAAAGCCTGTTATTCAGTTTATGTTTTCTGTAACAGTTGCAACATTAATCCCCATACTACTGAGAAAATGAACCAATTTGAAACTTATATCAATGTATCTTCCATCAATCAGCCTGTCCCCCCGGATTCTTTGGAAACAATTGTATCAACGCATGCCCAAAAGGAAGTTACGGGAATTTGTGTGGCAATGAATGCATAATTTGCTCAATTTCCGAATGCCATCCAGTCTATGGTTGTGCGAAGCCAAGTATGATTAAAGCTGACATGAACTCTTAAAAAGCCATCATTTTTCATCTTTGCACGACTTACTACATTCCTGTACGCCTTTGTCCGCCATATTTCTTCGATTCCGCCATATTTAATTGAAAATTTTCGGTCACCTGTACCTGCTATATATAGCCTTGTACGATTGCTTCACTTGAGTGATTTTCTAGCCTGACTGTCGACATGTACACATCTCCGATAACAAAGTTTTTAGAAGTCCATAAACTGACCAAATACATGTTTGAAAAGTAAAAATTCAACAAAAAAATAGAACTATACCGAGAATTAAATTATTTTTGAATGCATTTGCTGCAATATGGAAAATAAACTAACACGGAATAAATACATGTACATCAAACACCCATGCAGGTCGAGAAAACGCGTCAAACGCAGTGATAAAAACATTTACCTGACTACTGCTATCGTTACAGGGATGTGCACATGTCGAAAGAATTATCCTATTTTACTTTTATTGAAAAAAGCATCTCAGAAGTCATGTAATCCATTGCTAACTCAACAGTAAAAGATGCTTGGACACACGTGGCCCATGCCGATCATTTTATTTGGTCAGGGAAAATATCAAAGGTTGAAAGCTCAGTGGGGTTTATTGAAAAAAAAAATGCAAGTAATTTTTCAAAAATAAACATTACTCTTGTCTGTACATGTTGTAAATAAAATTTACGATTAAGTACATGGTTTAACTTCATCAAATTCATTAAAAAAAAGCAGGCATTATTACGAATCATTCACCTTTTGAAGATATTTTCCCGTGATATAAAGGGGGGGGGGTGTAATAAAACATGCATAACACTCTCATAAAAATAATGTAAGAAAAACGTCTGAAACAGATTGGATTTCTTTATGATCAATTATTATCAAATAAATATTGTGTATTGGCTTTATTAGACCTAATATAATTTGATTTAAAGTTATTTAATTTTATGCACTATGAAAGAAAAAGTGAGCACGTTCACATACCCCACGCTCCCCCAAAAGTCGAAGTAGTGCTGAAATTCCCAGAAAAAAATAAAGGAATCGTAATTTCCTTGTAATATGCACATCTATACACACTGTGTCCTAAATATCTGCAAAGTTTGACGAAATTGTGTGCAGCGGTTTATGAGGAGTTGCGCTGACAAACTGCTCACCTCTATATTCAAGATATGGCCAAAATCTAAATGTAAAAGTGCGGAAATTCCCGAAAAATAAAGAATTCGGAATTTCCTGGTGATGTGCAAATCTACACACACATTGTCTCCTATAAATATCTGCAAAGTTCGACAAAACTCTGTACAGTGGTTTATGAGAAGTTGCGCTGACCAAAAAAAAAAAAAAAAAAAAAAAAAGACTGACTGACGGGTCAAAAACATTAAACCTCACGCGTGGGGTATAATAAACGAGTTTGATTCTTTGGTACAATGATAATGAAAATAGAATTTAATGTAAATTAAATTTCTAGACATAAATAAGTAATGATTATTAGAAAAAGCATATAGGAAGAGAGTAAACTCCTCGTGAGAATTCCACATTCTACCTAAAACTAGCTTTTTAAAAATTCTCTTGTCTGTTGTCCAAGTTCGATACGTTTGAGAAGGTATTCGAGAAAGTTCCCAATGTTCCCATTCCTGTGATTTATATTTCACGTTTATTATATCCCCCGCCTGAAAGTGGGAGGTAATCGTTATGTCCGTTCGTCTGTCTGTTACGCTTTGGGGTAACCATCTCTTATCCGCAAATCCTGTTACATCACTTAGAGAAATTTAATGAAACTTTCAAAGAATGTTAAGTTTATTACAGATTACCATTATGCACCTCATATTTACTTTTTGATCTGACACGTATGGGTTTAGCGAAATATGGACTTTGCCATTATAACCATATGGGAGGCAGGGGGTATCATTTAGTGAGTTCATTGCTCATAATACATGTACGTCTAGTTTCTCTTTCAATTTGGGCGTTTGGGTTAATTTCCTTTCCAAAGTAAAATTATTATTCAATTTATGAAGTTTCGACATCCCGCCTGAAAAAAATCCTTGATCTGTCCTAAGGCATAATAAATGGTACAGCACAAAGTGCGTAGGATTTTATACCTATCATTGCCCCAAGAGAGAGAGGTGGTTACAGAGAGAGAGAGAGAGAGAGAGTTCAATATACAAAAGAATAAATAATAATTATCCGTATTCAACCAGTGTCAAGTATCCCTACCCTAGCTTTTAAAATTATCTCCCAAATTCACCTACAGAAATTATTTATATATATTAAAAAAAATACCTAGACTATCAGGCAGGGATACTGAAATCTCGAAATACTTCCTGTAACAACATAATTATAAAACAGTTACATTCCTCAAAATGCACATACTTTGTGGTCGGAGTGACACATTTTAAAAAAATCTCAAAACTGAATTCGGCAGAAATGTCTGTCTTCCAAGAATATTTAAATAACGGTCATGTCAATTATTTTTGTATGCCCCCACCCCCCCCCCCCCCCGTCCAAAAAATCAAATGCCTAAATATCAATCTGAACAGGGGATGGCCTTTCTCCGTGTGTGTATGTGTTAAAGAATGTATAGATGTACACATAAAAATTTGTATTCTGGTTAATTGCTTTTAAGATTTGAAGTAAATTATAGCCGTACATCAAATTACTTTGTTTAGATTTGAGATTAGTACTAAAATAATCAGTTATAATTGACAAATGAATTTTGCCACGCAAACCAACTGCAGACTATATACATGACTTTGTCTAGAATGTATATTAGAACTACATGTAGATAAACAATTCACACTTATCGCTTATGAACATCAGTTATAATTCCCCCCCCCCCTCCCCTTTCAGCCGCGCAAATACCAAATAACTTCTCTTTCCACTTTTGATATTTTCCCTGACCAAAATCTGATCAGCACGGACTAAGTGTATCGTCGTGCTAGTGTGTACGGAGTAATGACAGTGTGTTTACTATTGAGCTTTTATGGAGTTTATTTCTTTTTTGTGATGCATATTTCAATAAATGGAATTCAGGGTGTATTTCACTTGACTTGTGCACATCTTCGAACCGATGCAGTAACCTTATTACCAGGTATGGGTACGTTTACAGCGTTCGAGGCGTTTTCTCGATATGCATCAATTGCATAGGACCTGCAAATCAAAGACGTTGGTTGTTTTGTTCCATTCAAATGATATAATTTCAAAATGTGTTTGCAAATTTTACTGCTTTTCATTTCAAGTTTATTCTGCATAAATTGGCGCACTGTAAAAAATACGTACTCATGCATCTAAATTTCTCTTCCAAACTTGCATTTTTTTTCTTTTGATTCAAATCAATAATCAATCAAAAATATGATTATTATGTTGTTTATTTTGCTTTTTAAATGTCTTGATCACCTCATGTGTTCTCATATGCTTTACCATCGGAGATGTGCACAAGTCGATACCCAATCCAAAAAATCATTCAAGTGTAACGAGCGCATTGGGGTATACATCGTTACAATGAGACAAGGTATCTGAAAGAAATATGGCGGAATACGGCTATAGTTGGTATGAAACAAGTCGTACATAGATGAAAATGTTGCGTATTTAAGAATTCATGTCAGCTTTAATTTTTATTTCAATTTCTTATGCCTCTTTTTTTAATGTAGTAATTGTCGTTTTCTGTGCTACAAATTCTACCTTTTATTTCAGCAATCTCAACTCTTGTGATATCTTCACAAGTTGACCATACAACTTCTCTCCTTTCTACGTACAGAGAAAACTCCACAAGGAAATCTGCAGATAGACCACCTTTTACTACAGAAATTCCTCGATCCACTTTAAAACAATTTTCAATTTCCACTCGTTTAATCACCCCATCTGTTAGCGGTGATAATAACAATAATAATACTGTTATTATTGCGGTGGGTGGTGCTATAACATTATGTTTGCTCATACTTATCATTCAAGTTGGGTACAAACAAATATTACAATGTAAGAGGAAAAAACGGCGTTTATCTTCAAAACAAGATCACACTGAAGAAACATATCAAGAAATAACTGACATTGATGTGAACACAAGAAAATGCAATGATGGTTCTAAAGAGAAAACAAAATACAATATATTAAACCGTGTGCCAGAGGTACCTGGACGGGGATATCGTGAGATTCAAGAAATACAGATACCCGAGGAGACTCGATCGGGAGGAACACTTCATTCCGACAGCAGTGGAGAATCCTATGTATCACCAAATGAAAATGCTTCCCTCCACACATATACTCCTGTTATAGACTCTAATGGTGAAGATATGAGGGCAAGGGGGCCAAGTGGTAGCAATAATTATTTAAGCCCTGTTTTTGAAATACATGTGCCTTCTTCTGAGCATGGGCACTCTGACTCAAGTCACAGTTCTACACAGTATAATGATATTGCATTACCGCAGTGTGTAAATCGGATGGACGAAACTAATATCTATCTTGATGTAACGAACGAATAAATGAATTTAAAAGACTGTTTAATTATTTGTTCTAATTTTTCTTATCAAAATTATGATAAATAGATCCTTACTAATTTGTATCAGTCTGGTCAAATAGAAATTCTAATGACGGCATCAATGGTCTCAAGTAACATACAGGATAGACAAACATTTTTAATCTTACGAGGGACCTCCCAAATTCCTTAGACTGGGCCTAAATCTTTTAAAGAAATTAATGTTCTTTATAAAATTTTCTGGGTTGATAAAGCGTCTTCTTGGTAGATAAATTACGAGTTTTATCATGCTTACTTGAAAACAATTCATTGCATAAGATTTGACGGATTTATCATTCTTTTACATGGAGCAACGGCTGGTCTGCAACGTCAAAAAAGACTAATGTCAACGGTTCGTGTTTTGGACTTTCAATAACAATATTTCCAATTTTCAGAATCAAATTCTCTTTAAATAAAATTATTATAGAAATAAATGTGAAATATCTTAATTATTCTGACATGTTTAAACATTAAAATATGAATACAAATTATATACATGTACAGGTGTAAAAAAAAAAATATTTTGAAAACTCTCTATTTCTACGGGTTTTTCGTCTGTCTTCTCTAATGCAGTTGCACAAAGTCATTCTTGCCCAATTCTCAGGCCAGTATTTTTTTTTTCGTTTTCATTATTCACAAACAGAGAAATCCTCTCAGTCATTTTAAATACTAAGGACCATAGAAACATTTCCATGTCTACCAAACATTTATGACTTGTACATTTCTGTAAGAGTGAATTCAGAATCAAAACATTTGATCACAGTTCAGTGCGCCGCCTGTGCCAAAGCAGCAGTCATTTTTCAAAAGTCGAATTTCAACCCGATGTATATAAAACGTTATTGAATTCATATTTGGTTTTGGGGACCAGGTTATTGTCCAACAATGTATTGGAATTCCCATGGGTAATTATTGCGCTCCATTATAAGCAGACCTATTTTTGTATTCAAATGAAGCAGAATCTGTCCAAAATCATATGTGAAAAGAAGAAAACACTTGTTGGGATAATTTATTTTAGAGCATGTTTTACGTATGAACTTTTTCTAAAACGAGGTAAATTATTGACAAACAAGTTGATGAAACAAGAATATCACCAATCTCATAAAGTCATCATTTCTTAAATTTCTATGGTCGATAAAATGACCTAGTAAGCAAATACAATTGATCATTGAGTCAAATTCATTTAATTTTAACGTTTTTTATACTAAAATTATATGTTCATTTTATTTACACAGTGAATGGACGACGGATTTTCTCATTATTTCCCATAGACATGATAAGGAACACATTTAAAAAGTGTGACCAGCGGCAGTGTTATTTTTCTCATCCTCATTTTTGCTTGCTCCTATTTTGTATTATTTTATGGACTTTTGATATTGAATATTAAAATTCGTTATCTTTTTATAATTTCATTATATTAGTTTTTTGTGCCTTTAAATTAAAGCTTAACATATTCCTTTGACCCTAAAAGGCAGACAGTTTACAAAATACAGATACAGGTACCTGAATAATAAACACCTGGTCATTAACACATCTATTTCTCATGATCTCCTTTTTTGGGCACACAAACTTCATTTCCTTTTACAAGCGGAATTAATTATCGTCTCATGAATTTAAAACATTTTCGGTATAGGTTCTTTACAAACTATGACATATAACTTTAATGGAGTCAATTGTTCTTTTATTTTCAATTCTCACACAATACGGGTGTACTGAAAGGTCAGTATATCTTATTAAATGAAACATTGAATTCCTTTTCTGTCTGTATTCTTTTAATATCTTGTCTTGTCTGATTTCTATAATCTATAATAATCAATGCATTCGTGAGTATTCTGAATATTTCTATGCCAATAGTTTTAGCTCAATTCTTTTCGAGTATCTTTGTTTCTGGATCTCTTTATCTGTTTTGCATTGTTTTTTAAGTTTTTAATATATTTTTTTCGTTACATTAATGAATTTAACTAGTAATTTGAATATTGTTTCTCATTTTCAAACAAATTCTTTCAGCATGCCCACCAGGATATTTCGGGAAGAAATGTTTAACAATCTGTCCACAAGGTTTTTACGGAGATTTGTGCACACATAAGTGTACCGTGTGTGATGAATTTGAATGTCACCATATAAAAGGGTGTCAAAGATTAGGTAACTTTCAGCTTATTGATTTATAAGGTATAAGATAAAAGAAAATCCAATAATTTAGCAAAAACGTCCAAAAAGCATGGAACATGTTGAATTCTGCAACATTATCTTATAATGAATGTTGTTCAGACTTTCGTTCTTTTTGCTTTTAGAAATATCAACCTTTGACACATCATCAAAACGATTCCAAACACCATCCTCCTCCTATGACAAAGAGACATATTCTGTGAAAAATCAAAATAAAACAATAATTACAACCGAAATCACTTCCCAGAAAACTATCAACCATCATTCAATTTCGATCACTATATCTACGCCTTATGTTGTAAGGGAGAAAAATAATATTAACAAAACAATAATTGTAGTGGGTGGGGTAATAACTCTATGTCTAGTTATTCTTATCATTCAAGTTGGTTACAAGCAGATATTACAGTACAGGCAGAACCGAGTTAAACTTCTGACTGAACATAAACAAATTGAAGAGACATACGCAGAAATCAATGACGGTATTTTAAACTCTAATGATTTTAAAGACGAATCTTTTTGCTCAAAGAAAACGAATAAATACAAAACGATTATTCATATATCCGAGATATCTGGTCGGGAATATCAAGATATATCAGATAATCCTTTGATATCCAATCAAGAAGAAAACAGTTTAACGAGTGCCGCTCAATCTGGATGTAGTGGAGATTCCTATCTGATTCCGAAGGAGCAGGTGCCCTTACACACGTATACAGACGTCATAGACGTCAGTCCCCCTACACAGGATACAAGTGCAGATTATCTGGACCCTGTTCTAGAGTTAACATCAGAATATAATGCCTCTGAAAGAAACCATCCATATCATGACATTGTCGAACCTCTTGGTGATTTGAACGTGACAGAGAAAAACAAAAATCTTCATTCCGGGGATACTTTAAATTCAATAGTGTATCTAGATGTAGTAAACTCATGACATGTATATGCGATGATATATCTAAACCATATTTTGTTAAATACGATTTACAAAACTTACATAAGCCTGAGGGTTTGTTTAGTTCATATCTAGTAATTAAATTAAATGAAAGCTATGGTATATTTCAAGAACTCTTTTTTAAAAATTTGAATCAACAAATCTCTTTCCTTGTGGATTTTGCGCTCTAATAAATAAAGTAAAACTTTATACGAGAATAGCTTCCTCCCGATGTTACATTTAACGGCAGATGGATATTTTTGCACGTACCAATTCTACATTAAAAATCAAATTATATATTTTACGTAGATTGTGGTCAATATATCACAATAAATAAAATTATAATTATATTGCGTTTCATCCAATAGTGGTCTCTGAAAAATATATCTTTTATTTCAAGGAACGTTTTTATGTTTAAATTTACAAGCTTCTGAAAAGATGTGTGGTGTAAAGATATTATGTAAGTCATCGAACCATTTATGTAAAAGGTGGAAAAAATGGAACAGTATTCGTACTCATAATACAAGTATATCAAAAAAAAAGATTGACGGCTGAGCATACCTTTCTTTCGAATCTGATATTCCTAAATATAGATTACCATTTTATATAAAATGAATGCAAGACAGGGTCATATTTTTCACACTTAAGAGTTGGTTGCTTAAGCAGTTAATTCTTTCATATAACGTGGCGGTTATAAATACCCTTCTTGGTAATATCCATAATCAACTTTACTAGCCAGTTTTCTGGTGTCTAAAAAAAAAGTTCTCAATACGCTTGCCATTTTCAAACAAAGAATTTTAGAACCACTCTCTGTTTGGTTTCGACTACCGTTAAAGTGGCGTGGCAAAGTGTCAGACTTTCTTAAACTCTATTTGACAAACATAATTTAGACGACCCGCCGCGCCCGGATTGTGGATGACCTGCAAGCACTTAATTACATCAAGCCGGGTGGACATCTTGAGACTAAAATTTATGGGCTCTGGTGGGCTCATTATGGAGTTCATGGAGATATTAATATATGTAAATGAAATACATGTATATGGAGATAATAAGCAATATTCAAGCTTTAATTTTTATAAAACAATACAACATTTGAGCACAGCAATCACGGACCTCCAAAAACACCAGATTTGGGTTTAGATCCCATGGAAGAGTGAATATTCTCTGCCGACTGGTCACATTCGATGTGATCTCCCTGTTATTATTGGAATATATCTAAAAATTCAGTGTGTAAATAATTAACTAACAATGGATATGAAAACTTCAGTCAGACAATCTTTATGATAATGTTAACTTGGCATCTCAGGACTCAGGGTAAAATTACTAGTATTCGATCAGTGGGTAGGTGGAAAGATCTTTTCTGCAGAAAAAATCAAATCATTTAATGACGAAATAAGAGAAATGAAAAGAAAAAAACCCCGTCTCCTGGAAAGTAAAAAGAATTTTTACTTTCCAGGCGGTCGGAAGAGGGCAACCAAACATTTTTTTTAAATGGCAATTTTAATTGACAATAGGTCATCGATATACCTAAATGTCGAGTTGGAGGCCACATCAATTGTACCATCTGCTTCATATAAATATAAAAATAAGTCTGCTTATAACCGGTCGAAATTGTTACCAATGAGAATTCTAATAGAATATTGGAGGACCCAACCACTAAAGCATCTTTTTTGTGTCAACTTCAAAGTACGTGTGTGTAAAATTAGAATATTTTTAACAAAGTAATATTGCAATTGACCAATGATAAGGTTAGAAAATTTACGAGTTTTATTTTTATTGGAAAATCAGTTGTCAATGAATTCAAAAGCCTGGACTTCAATTTATCGTTGGGAATGGTTGTTTATAGTGTTAAAAGGTCGTAAGTTTTGGTAAAATCTTGTGATTTCATGATTTTTTTTTTTTTTTTTTAAAAATGTATCTACTTAAGATTTACACAACTTCTCAAATATATTTTGCTGTGTAAAGTTTTAAGTCGGGAGTAAAGAAATGGGCTTGATTAATATTTCCTGGAATCCCTCTATGTATCTTTGTTTGAAAGGATTTTTATGAAGTTTTGGAAACCAAAATAGATGTGCTAATTCAAATTTATTTTGGATGTTTGAGATATACAGCTGTAAAGAAAATCATAACTAACATATGCTTTTGAAGAATTTCTTTCTTAGAAAGGGAACTATGAGTATAAGTTGGATTACCACTTGTAGAAATAATCCAAGTTCTGATGAAATACAATTCATATAATGAGCCTTACAAACGAAAACAATCTTGTTACCTGCTTTGTAAGCAGGTACCTGTACGTATTGATCATGTTATCTAATTCTTTTTTATACTTCTGGATTAATAAATGCAGAAGGATATATGGTTTTAATATTGTCCCTAAATCTTTGAATGCGCGATTGTAACACTAACTCTTTCTAAAGTTATTTATTCTAAACGTGAATCTTTTGGCTGAGATACTCTGGTGAAAAGGACCTCATTGTATAAGTATAGTTCTTTTCTACGTTTTTAACTTTTTATGATAGAAAAACAATGTTTTATTGGATTTACTAGTCACAGTTTAGTTTTACCTGAGTTTAATCAGAATCGAGTATACTGATTTAAAAGTTGTTGTTACAATATGCTTAGGTGAGACATATATTTATAGCTGTGTGATTTAATTGATATCCTTACAAGATGTCCTAAAATTTCTAGACGGTATTATACACTTATTTACTGGCTATGAGGACAATAGTAAGTTTATCGTCCCCCAAGGAGGGGGACGATAAACTTGCTATTGTCCGAATAGTCAGTAAATAAGTGTTTTATTATACCAATTCTGACTTTACTTTTGTTAGAAAAGTTCGCGGACAAGTTCTATTGAGAGCGCGCTATTTCCACGAAACCGGTCAAACTTTCCAGATAAAATCTTAACCTTTTTTTCAATAAATATACAAGAATTTGGTGCTCTCCTGTGATTATTGAAAAAAAATACAGCATTTTTATTTTGATAAATCTTGCTTCACGGAGCATGCTACATTTTGGCGCGTTTACATCTATAAGACTCTTTATTAAAATTAAAAATTGCACAATTGTAGCGCAAAGAAATTTATGATATTTAATCTGCCGCTAAAGTATACAGGGAACAACACTTGGAGAAATTTTGAATTAAATTGTAGGGTATATGACTGTTTTATAGCCGTTTATAAATGATCAACGCGTAAAAACACAGCCAAAAATCGGAACGTCATTGAGCGTCATGGAGCACTGCACTACGTAATAATTAAGTGTGCAGACAGGAAAATGTCTAAAAAGAGAATAACATGTTCAAGATGCTGCCGGAAATTTCCTACACATACAAAGATCAATTTTTCAAATGGTCATATCTTCATAAGAATGGAAGGATTAACATTTTGAATGATTGACTCCACCGATACTTCAATATTCCCTTGTCGCTTGGAAGTTGCGCCTATATGGTTTTGCATAGTTTCTATATCTGATCGATTAACTGCATAGACTTTTTAAAAAAAAAATTTAGATCTCATAATATCCAAATCAGTACAAAAGACATTATAGTAGAAAGTAACATGTCTTGATATAGATATACAATTTTAAAGTAGAAAAAAGATAAGAAAAATCAAAGAAATGAAAGATATATAGAACTGCGACAAAGCATAACGGGTTGAAATCTGGTTTTCACGTCGCTTACGTCAAGTGATTGCTCCGTGAATCCCATGACCCCATAGTAAAAATGGTTGTAAAACTTCAAGATTTTATTATATGGACATGATTTTTTACAAACCAATTAACAAAATGTAGGAATTCATTCAGACATGGGTCATACTTCACAGTACACAATAGATTTTCTGTAATTCAATGTGTCCGCGAACTTTTCTAACAACCTTCGTATATGTCACAATCAAATCAGAAGTTTTCCATGATGAAAAGCGAGGGAAACAGAATGCTGCCGGTGAACAGTTTGATGACTATTTCACCATGGTCAGATAGCACAAAAACTATTTCACGGTAGGGGCTATTTGGAAAAGATCATAGCAAGTTTATTCGTCATATTCTTATATAGAACAAATTCACAGAGGTATAATAAATCTGAATATGTTTAGAGTCAATCGTTAACGCGTTTGCAGTAATTCAAAAAAGTTATAATGACTGTTTCAAAGGTTAAGTGT